CTCCAGCAGTGGCAGCCCAGGCTGGTGGCAGCTGCTCCAGTCGTTGTCCAGGCCTGAACTTCCCCGCTTACTTGCTCAGCAGGTCCGGTTGCTCTGTACAGTTCCCGGCATGATGTGGGCTGCAGCAGGAAGGCGGCAGTGGACCACATCCACCCACAAATCCAATACAACCTCCATCCAGGGCCCTGAGCAGCCGGGCTGGCAGTGCTGGGTGTTCTAGAATCAGTGGACTGGAAGGAGCCTGAAAGATCATCAAGTCTGGTCCCCTGCCATAGGCAGGAGGTTAATGAGGTGCTTATCCAGCCTCCTCTTGACCACCTCCAAGGCTGGTGACTGCACCACCTCTGCCCGGAGTGTGTTCCAGGCTTTTGTTTACCCTTATGGAGAAGAAATTCTTTGTGTGCACTCTAAATCTTCACTCTGTTAGTATGTGACCATTGGCCCTCATCTTCTCAAGGGATGCCTTCTTGAAGAGTTGCTTCCCCAGTTGTTCAAGGAAGGTGGCTCTGGGTCATGGTGAGGCTGCCTGGCATCCTTGGGCCCCATGGTTTGGGGCAGATTAGGACCGCCTGGGAAGTTTGGCACAAGCCTCCTGGGCCTGCGGGTCCCTGCACATCCCTGGTCTGAGCCCCTGCAACAGCAGCCCCTTGCGGGGACGGGATTCCTGCAGAACCACCTCTTGCAGCCCCCACCCCACATACCTGGCCCTAGCCCAGCACCAATGGCACCCAAGCTGCACCCAGCACCACCACTGCCAAGCCAAGCAGAGCCGCCGCTTTTTCTTCCCTGTGCTGCTTGGGCTCCCAGCAGCTCCATGTGGGTCCCAATGAGAGCCCGGGCAACATGGGGCAGAGTGACTGCTCCGCCTGGCTCGGCAGCAGCATTGGGCACAGCTTGGGCTCCATCAGCCCTGGGCTGAGGCCAGGCATGCAGGGTAGCATGGTGCGGGGGCTGCAGGAGGTGGCTCCATGGGAATTTTACCCCCACCTGCTGGCAGTGGCTGGCTTCCCAGGGGGGTGGGGCCGCCGTTGCAGCCATCGCTACCTGAGGGCCCAGACTGGAGATCTGCAGGGACTTGCTCAGGCCAGAGCTCCCAGGTGGTCCCAACCTGGCCCAAAGGTGCCAGGCAGCCCCACTGTGGCCCAGCGCTGCCTTCCTTGAACTGTCGGCACTGCCAGCCCAGCTGCCTTGGGGGGAGGGGGGGGTTGTGTGCTGCTCGTGTGTGGATGGGTACTTGTGCTCCCTTGACCCTTCCTGCTGCAACCACCTGGAGCCCGCTCCTGGGCTGACCCGTGGCTCCTCTGCCCTGCTGGGTGGCCTGGAGGTGGCAGCGATGGTAGCGGAAAGGAGCTGCAGGGCAGCCCAGGCACAGGCTCTAAAACCATGTGCACGATTTAACACATTAAAAAAAGTAACAGATTGATTTGGTTCTTGTGTTAATCGTGCATGTTAGCACTGATTTACTGACAGTGTAGTAATTGGTTGACCTTCCCTTAAATTAAAGCATTGTATAACATGATTCTGGGTGAAGATTGTATAAGAAATTTCTTATACAGCTTTAACGATTGTGTTAACTTTGCTAGGAAACTAAATGTAGGGAGTTTTTACTGGGTTTTAATACCAACTTTTTATTTTAGGTAACTTTAAAATCTGATTCCTGCTCTGCTTCCAGATGCATCTTAGCAGTACCACGCCACACTCAGTTCCATCTGCTACGTAGAGCTCTAAAATACTTGCCCTCAGTCTATAGGCAGCATCTGGTACATAAACTTCAGACATCATATGTGGCTAATCTGTATAAACAGTGTTTTTGTATGAAGACAGAGGACTCCATGTAGGTAGCTTACATAGGATTGTACATGGAATCTCTAGAATTTCCAGGAAGTAATAAGCATTTTGCGTATAACTTCTCTTTTTCTCTCTACAAACGGTACCAAACAAAATAGTTATGTATCAGCCAGCCATTAATTCCAGGAGTATAATAAACAAAACAAGTCTCAATTTGTCATACTCTGCTCTAGTTTATTTTAGAAACCCAGTTTTCAAGACTGTGTTCCAGTTGTCTCTAACAAACATTTAATTTTGTTTTTATTTTTAGACAAGTTAGATGTGTAACAGATGAGGTAATGACATGCAAATGGATTAAGTTGCAAAGCTAAGGCAAAACCTTTTGAAAAAAAATCTTGCTTTGTAGTTTAAGCCAAACCTGGGCTTTCCCCGCATTCACAATTAAAGCTGAACTAATTAAATTTCAGAAGCAAGCTAGTCTATTCCCCTTACTAGGCTTATCAAAACAGTTGTTTCTGGTCAAAGCATGAGCTGCAGAATTTGCTGTGTGATGCGGATTAAGCTATTTTAAAATTTAATGTAAAAGATATTTAACTTAACATCTTTTTGCCAGAGCAGATTTGATTTTTAAAATGAACGGGAGAACATGAATAACTTTTATTTTGCATTTGGATTTTTTAGTCACTTTTCTAAAAGATTGATTCTCATTGTTTAATAATCACTAAGCTTTCTTGATTTGCAACTAGATATAACCATTGTACTAAGCTTGGCATTTTACTCATTAAATTAGCTGCATAGTTTAACAAACTTTTTCAGCTTTTTACATTCATGTTAGGAAATGCTGAAAAATATTGTAATTGACTCCTATTAGTTGTAATGCACATCAAGCTGCTTTTTGGATAGAAGCAATAATTCAGCTAGTGAAGAAAACTAGCATGCTAAAATTTTAAGGTCAGCTTAGTAGAACAGAGGTACCGAGTACAGTTGTCAAAATATGTTCTGTATTAGAAATCAATTTGGTTTAAACAAAATCCCCTTCAATTATTATTATTTTGGTCATAATGTCTTTCGTGTCCTGATCACACTCTTGCTCTCTTTCTTCCCCCACCTCCCCTTAGTTTGTATTTGCAGAATGGAAAAATCAACTTTTCCTTTTTCTCTTAACTCCCAACTGGTCTAATTTTGAATGATGATACTGATACTGAAGTGGACTGAATAAAATAAAGGAAGAAATATATTATTTTTGTACCAGCAGAAGAGGTGATAATTGCCAAAAGCTGGTTTATTATTCTTGTTACATAAACTATAGCCAGTGATTCCTATCCACCATTCCAGTTGAGTGATTCAACCTTCTTTAAAATTTCAACAGAAAACCCTTTATTATTTTTAGTTTGTTTTATTTTCATTGCTTTTAAAATATACGCCTTAATACTCATTGTCATAATTTCAGTATAGTTGCAAGTAGCTTTATTTTATTAATGTAATATTTAAAATATTAATCTGGTTTAAGTACAATAAGGTCTTTTTTTGAAAAACTAACTTTTCATTCACTGTCCCCAATTTCCAATTTTATTTTGATATGGAATTGAGACCTGTTTTTATTCTAATATAGGAGAATTGGAAAGTTGGAATTTCAAGTAATGTTTTCCAATCAATAGTATTTTTATAATACCATGAGACATTGTTGGCACTGGATTTATGACCCAAATACCTTGTTTCGGGCAGACCCAAACCCTCAGACTGACCATAACGTCTCCATTCAATAAAAGGGAAATTTTATTGATAAACGGTGATAGCAGATAAGAATAATGTAGGTAAGGCAAATAAAAGAACCCACACCAATTCTATACCTACCAGTCCCAGAGCTGTCACAGAGGGAAGGTACATCTGGCCCATACGTGAGCTTCACCCTGAGGTTCTTTCTTGAATGTCATATGTCAGCAGCCTGGAGGGCTGAGGCCCATCTGCCCCCAGTGAGGTGGGTGAGACGTGCTGGTGGTATGCCCTCTGTCTATGGTGGCCTCGGGTTCCCCTCTCAGGAACCCTTTGCTGCTCTGAAATCCCTCCTCTTGTATTCTTTCTCTCCCCTGACTCTTCATCCCCAGTCATCACTGATTGGTCTCCCTGTGGCTATCACACTATAGATGTTCTGTTCTGTCCTGTCAGCATGTTCCTTAGTTCCAGCAAACCCATCACATGCACATTTTTTTAATTTGGTTATTTACTGATCTCTTAATTTGGTGCGTCCACCAAAACTGGAAATCCGAAGGGCTCTGCAGTTAGGCACGTTAACATCGTGCCAAAGCTTCAGAGTCCCTTAATCTCTGTTTGGGTACACTGTTCATGTTATGGAACAGTGTGGTACATGTCTTCGGTTTCCCAGCCTGCGTCTGCTGGCATCAGACACAGTGGGCCTTGAAGGAACTGTCGCACATAAGGTTTTAGAAACTCGTTAACCCTTACCATTCCCATGGACCATTGTTCTAATGCAATATCTACTTTACCTACGAGCCAATTCCCAAAACCAAACCTCTAAATACCATTTTCTAGCCATCAATTATGGCAAGAGACACAATGCAGAGACACGGTTTTAACATGAGAATAATGAGGTAAAGATGGATTTTGGTGATGCAGCAGCAGAATTTTAACAAAAAACTGCATGTGAAAAATTCTCTCTCTTAAAATGTAGCCCAGGGAGAATGAAAGGATGGTATCATTGGTAGGGGAAGGTAGATACGCTTGCTGCGGAAGGAGGGAAAATTCACTTAGAAACAATGAGTTTAGATGCTACTGGAAGACCAAAAGAATGTCCAAGAGGCATTTGTATACTGAAGAAGATAAAGATTTTAAGAATCATTTACACACAAAGGAAAAAATGGTAAAGGATAAGGCCACTTAAGAGTAGGTGGAGCAAGAAGAGTGGACACATGGGCCCAGATCTGAACCCAAGAGGACCTCAATCAAGGGAGAAAGGAGGTAGACTAAGACAGAGGAGGTTGATGACAAAATTTGGGGAACTGGACAACATGGCAGGAAAAAGTAATAGTAACACAAGAAACCCCAGTAGCAACAGACTGCAGGACCTTGTTTCTTTGCATTTGAAGCAGTGTTTTGGTCAGATACTTGAGACAAAAGTTGCCTTTTTCAACTAGTTTTGTCTCTTGCAGGTTATACAGAGGATATTTTATACAGTAAATAGATCCTGGTCTGGAAGAATCACTTGTAATGAGCTCCGGAAAAGCAACTTTTTGCAGGTATTCTGTTTAAAATTTTACATGATAGTAAAGTTTAAGCCAGCAGGACTGTCTTAAGCCAAAGACTTAAAGGCATAACTACAAATAATGGCATTTGTTCTAGCCTCTTCCAAGGATCAACAAACTTTAAAGGAAACAATGACTGTGTCCAAACGTTTATTTTTAACAGTGGAAAATAACGCCACTAGAAATGGTTCTAGAAGAGGGAGCAGTACTGACACAGTCCTCAACTGCCCCCTCTCCTCTGGTACTTGTGCCTTTCCCAGACCAAGGTGATCCTATTCTGGGGAAAATGCGGGCTGCTCCAGCTCTCCTGTTCCTGGGGGATGAGGTGCAGGGCTAAGCCCCCTCCCTACCAGCATGAAAAACGGTCAGGGAGCTCTCATTGCAGCTTCCTCTGCTCAGTTCCTGGTGCCCAGGAATGAGCAGACTGAGGCTGCAGCAGAGTCCCCACCTGTTCCATACCTGGGATTCCAGTGTGAGGAGCAGGTGGGGGCCTTGCCCTACTAGCCCAGGGAAAGCCTGGTTCTTGGCCTGGCTGGCTTCTAAATCTCCACCCCCTCTGGGTAGCTTAGCAATGTGTGGAGTAAGGGGAAGGAGAGTTGGATCAGAACCAGCCTCAGAGATGCTCCCCCAGCCTGGTTCCAGCCCAGCTAGTTTTTAAACAGCTGTCTCTGCTGCCCAACTAAGCAGCAGGACAGGGGCCAGAGGAAGCAACGCCATTGCCTGCACTTGTCTGCTGGGCACTAAAAGCCAAGTAGAGGGAACTGCAGGCAAAGCCGCTGCCTGTTTCTCAGTTGAGAAGGAGGTGAGGAGTAGCTTGTGATTGTTCCTCCCCTCCCCTTCGCCTCCCCTCCTGGTCTACAGGCAGGCAGAAGCAGCTACCCCCCTGCAACTTTTCCACAGTAGGGTGATCCTGGTCTCTGGAGAACACTATTAACCTTTTACCCTGGCTCCACTCCTGGTCTCCAAGAAGAAATAAGCTGGAGGAAAGTGTGCAGACATTTGGTTTCATGGGAGCAATTTCTACCTGGGTATTATCAGGTTATTTTTCTCCTGAAGTGGCCATTTTTTGCTATAGGAGAAAAAGCTTGAATGTCTGTGTACTTTTCATTTCTAACGATAATTATTCTTCCAGGAGTAACTGAACAACTTTACATGGCCACGGACTGAAACACAGATTTGTTTTAGTTTACGTTGCTGTATTTCAGAGGTATATTTATTATTCTAGCTTTCAACCTAGCTTGTTAAAATTAAATCATCAGTTCTCATCATGCTGTACTATGCATGCTGTCTGTGAAGACTACAGTTCCAGTGAAAAAACTCCTCTTCCAAGGTCTTGATCTCATTCTTTTAGCAGCTGCTATGACAAACAGGCATCTTTGAAAGTGCTAATTGATAGCTTTTTTTTCTTCCTAATAGAATGTGGCATTATTGGAAGAGGAAGCGGATATTAACCAGCTGACAGACTACTTCTCTTATGAGCACTTCTATGTCATATATTGCAAATTTTGGGAGCTTGATACAGACCATGACCTCTACATTGATCGGAAGGATTTAGCCCAGCATAATGATCATGGTATGACAAATGGAACAACTTTGTTAACAGCCTCCATAAAGATTAATTGAGAAGTTGTTTACCTGCCAAGCCCAGAACTCCTGGCTCATTTTGAAGGACTAACACTGCTAACTGCTAAACAGGGCAAAAGTGTTAGTACTTTAATGCTGCTTTGTGCTAATGATGTTAGATCATGCAGAGAGAAACAATGAACATGACCTCTGGGTTTAGCAGGCAACTAAAGGAAAAAATGACTTAAAAATATTCATTTAAGCTAAAATTTGCATAATTCAATGAACTGTAAATCTTAGTTCACTTACAACCTATGAATTGTAAGTTTACTGTCCCTGAAACAATTGTTTTATCAGCATATTAGATGTCCAAGTAATGATGATACTTGTCAGGCCACAAACATGTTGTTTTTGCTGTGGGATGTGTTGTAATGTAGCCATTTTGTCAGTGAGCCTAAATATGAATTTAAGACCCGAGCTTCAGGTGCACATTTTAAAGAAATTTGGCTTCATACTTGTACAGCAGCTAGTGCAGTGAAGATAAGTCTATGTAATGGTCTCCCACTGATGAGGGTAGAGGCCTTTGTACTGTAGTCTAGTCATTTGGAATTACACCCAAATAAACTTTCAGTTGCAGAAATGTCTTTTCTAGGTATCGGACAATTACATCCGTGACTTCTATTAATAAACTAGTGAATTGCCTATCAAGAATTACCTGGGGGGTGGGGAAGAGTGGAGACAGAGCACAGTGCACCACCACTGCCTCCCAGGAGTGGGGCGGGGTGGAAGTGGTGGGGTGGGAAACTTGCACACAGCGGCCTCTGCACCGCCCTGTGCTGCTGCCACTCCACATCCATCCACACCCCCCACTGCATCCAGCCTCGCAACACTCCCCAATCCCCCAGCTGTATGTCTATGTGGAGCACTCTGGCTGCCGAGAGAACCAGTTGGAGTGCTCAAAGATCATTACGGACAGACAGACGGACTAAACCAATTTATAGATATGTTTCTCAATAGATATAGATACAATTCCTTAATGGAGACAGTAGATTATGCTATAGGTTTTATGATCTTGAGGTACAGGTGCTAGGGAATAATTGAAAGGGATACCAAGTTTGAGCCCAGCTTTGCTTTGGAAGCTCTTTACAGTCCTGCGGTCCCATCAGGGAGACCCAAGAGGGTTATTTCAGTTTCCACACAAACTCCTTGTCTTTAGGTGGCTTGCAATAAATACTGCATTAGCCAGGCAGTACAAATTAAAAACATTTTGAATAATGTCCACTTTTTCCCCATTTACAGCTATATCAAATAGGATGATAGAGAGGATATTTTCAGGAGCAGTAACAAGGTAACTTTTTATATAATCCAATGTAATGCTCAAATTTCAAAAAAATTCATGCTAAAACAATTGATTTTTTTTTTTTTTTTTTTCACTAAAAATGGATTAGTAAATTTCGGGGATTCTGCTCTCATTCACTGCTTATATCCATTCTTTTTTAACATCATTTTTTTTTTTTTTTTTTGGTGCTGGCTCCCAATGGCAGGCACTGCTAAGGCCTTTTGGTGATGGTGAATAAAGAAAGGCACTATAGACCACTGTTATGTAAGGTAATTTTTAAGTGGGGAAGGATAGGAAAGATTACGGGCACTTCCCATGTTTCTTCCTTTTAAAGTTTTAAAATTACCAAATTGAAAAGTAATGCCTTGAAAACAAGGGCAGACAGTTTTTTGGGTAAATGTGTTATCTTTTATTAGACCAGCTAAATAGCTGGAAGAATTCTTCTTTGCAAGCTGTCGGGTACAAATACCCTTCTTTAGACTGTCTGCCTGAACAAGGGTGTTTGTACCCAACAGCTTGCAAAGAACAATTCTTCCAGCTATTTAGTTAGTCTAACAAAATATCACATTTACCAAAAGAACCTCCTCTGCCTATATCCTTAGACCAGCATGGCTACAACCAACATGCCTTAAAAACAGCAAACCTATTTCAGTTGCTAGAAACGTTTTGTTTTTCCTACTTCATATAAGAGAGAACCTTGCCTTCAATTGGAGTACTTACTGCATTTAGTAATACTGGACTGTCATGTTCACTTGTTGGTCGTTTTTGCTTCTTGTGTAACATTGTCACATTCCATATATGATGCTTTGAGGCATCTTACATGATGCTCTTGAGATCCTTCAAGAGGGTATAGTAGAACCTAGATCATCTGTAATTCACTCAATTTATAGCTGTCATTTCTTTTACTTAAAAAGATACCTCTTCACTATTCAGCTGGGGCATGGAAGTGGACATGCACAGCTGATTAGAGGAAGTAGCACCCTTTTTAAATACTGTCTTTACTCAAATCAAAGGTGACCGCCCAATAATCAGTTGAAAGAGAATATAAGATGAGTGTGTGTGCATGGAGATGGATGGATGGATGTGGATATATCCATATAATAAATTTATCAATTTTCTATAATTTTCCAGGTTTAGAATCTAATTATCAGAGTTTTACCTTGAATTTGCCCCCTTCTTGCTGCTACAGCAGGGAAAATAGTGGCTGGGGGTGAGGTTAGGTGGCCTGCTTGCCATTTGCCCTTCCTACCTCCCCTTTGCTGTTAGACCCTGCTCATGCTCTGTTCCCTCCCAGAGCTTATGCAGGCATGTGATTGTAAGGTGGAAGGGTCAGAAGCTGCAGAGGACAAGCAAAAACTAATTTTAAATACAAGGCACCAACAAACACTGACTTTTGAAATAAACATACCTGTAATTTGCACTATGCAAAGTACTATGCATACCTTCAGCTTTAGCTCATCCAAAATTGATTCATTTTATCTTTTCACTAACTGCTGCAAGTTTCAGCATAGGTACTCCGTAAATACACTTGAGCAGCACTTTTGTATCTACTTACACTGCATGATTCTACTCCAAAGCTGAAAGTCTTATGACTTTCATTCATTGGGTTGGGCTCCAGCAGAGTTGCCACTGTTTCATGCCATGGTGACCCCGCAGCCCAGCACTGTTCAGCATGTGTATACTCCAGATACCACTCTTCCCCCCCACCCCCAAAGGATCCATATGTTAATTACCCCCCTCCCTCCACTTCAACTGGAACTCGGTGTTCTTGTTGCAAGTCCTGGGACCCTCCAAAAATTAATATGCAAATGAGGTATGGGGCCACTGGGTCCAGCCTTCACCCCATGAAGGGCAGGGCCACACCAGTTGCATGCGGCAGACCAAGAAGTGTGGTGCAACAGAGCCTCTCATTTACATAAATGTCTGGTGATGTTTGCCAGACATTTAAGACTGATAAAGAAGCTAGAGAGATGCTGCTTAGCTGTGGGAGTGAAGAGGTCTAAATGTATTTGATGGAATGGTATACATGAGTTGGAAAAAAAATTGGTGCAGAGGGATACCAAGTTCAGTGGGCACTATCACTTATCTTAGTTTGAGCTGCAGCAACCTAGCCTTGTGGTAGGTTCCCATCAGTATACTTGCCCAATAGGAGCTCCATGTTTCATGGGCATGCTCAGTGTGGGTTGCATTCAGTCAACTTCATAGTTGGTTTCCATTACTGAGCACATTGCTTTTGGCAGGAGTTTAATGATAGACAGTATATTTAATGAAGCTTTCCTGTATGCAAATATAAGGAGCACCTTTTCCCCACTTCTGTAAATTTAAAGTAATAAAATCTGTATCAAAGCCTTGGAGCATCTCTCTGTTCCCACCACACAACCCTGTGTCCTGCCTGCCTTCTTCCCTCCCTCCCCCCAGATACTTCACAAATCCTTGTCTTTTCTAAGCAAAGGAGGGGATAAGAATCTAACCCTGCAACATATCCAAGCTCTACAGTTTTTAACAAATGACAGCAAAAAAGCTGAAACCAAATTAGCAATGGGTAGATATGCACAGATGGAAAAGGATCGTGTTTTGGTGTTGCTGCTTAGGCCTGCCCAAAAGATCCTTCTAAACTATAACTGAAGCAATAGAGAAATATTTTAAAATGAAAGAATTTTGTAAAGAGCAGTTTTTTGATATACTAAGCAAATCCAAAATAGCACTAAAATATTCTGATTTTGCTTTTTGTTAATACCTGCTTTGGTCTAAAAGGGGCAGAAAAACGCAGAAAGAAGGAAAAATTAGCTATGCTGATTTTGTCTGGTTTTTGATATCTGAAGAAGACAAAAAGACTCCAACTAGGTAAGAATTTATCTTGCAGTAGAGCCTAACTAGAAATTGGTTTTAGTAGCACAGCCACATGCTTATAAACTGGTAGAACAGCTAGCTGACCTGCATAAATCTTGAATTGTTTTGCAGTTTAATGGAATACTGTGTGTGTTCTTGCCTGTTTTTCTTCTCTGGCCTCGCTTCGTCTGATTTTTGTAGTATATTATTTAAGAAGGTGTTCCTTTTTTTTTTTTTTAAGGAACGGTTTCAGGCCTAAACAAAATCCACTTATCCTATTAATAGCTGCTTCTAACTAGAGTTACAAGTTTTCAAATCCACTGTTCCTTCAATACATTCAGTCCTTTGACCGTGCAGTGAAGTTGTAATACTGGCATTGGAAAATCATGTCATTCCACAAGCCTGACAAATCTTAAATTGGGCTAGGGTTAATAATCTATGGAAAGTTGTGAAAGGAGAAAGCAGGCTACAGCAACTTTAAGTTGTTCTTTTCTTTCACATTTATTTGGTTCTATGGGTTAGTTTCCTCTCTAGAGAACTTTTATGCCTCTGTGCTTCATTAGTGTTCCTTTTTTATGTATTTTGCATTGCTTTCAGCCATAATACTGCAGGGATCATCTCATAATGAAACATTATGCTTTGTTCATGGTTTCTAAGCCTTGAGTTGCACTTTTTTACAAAGCAGAAATGTGAAGAGATTGTTGAAATACCTAGCACTTGAATATTAAATTAATTTGTGACATCACCAGGCATCCTGGTTTTCTGTTTTGTTTTGTTTTTTGTGTTTGTTTGTTTTTTTACAAAAAATCCCCAACTTTCAGTTAAAGTAACCCCAAATCCACATTTTATATATACAACCTTCTCTTAACAGAATTATCTTCATTTGAAGTGTGACTTGTCCAACATACCTTCAAGATGCATCTTAAGAACCACATCTCACTTGCTTCAATTCTCTTTTGCATACTTGGTGATATTGTCCAGCATTCTGATGCATATTTGACAACTGGTATAACAGCAATCCAGAACTCTTAACTTTGTCCCCATAGAAATTTTACTAGTTGTCACTATCTTTTACATTTTCAAAAATGTCTTTTGCCGTCCCTATTCTCCATTTTATTTCATGATCACATTTACCATCTGATGTTATCCAACTTCCCAAGTAGTTAAAACTTACTGATCTGCCTTATCTGTTCCTTTTCCACTTTGACATTGCATATAGGAATGATCTTTTTTGTAATTTACCATGCATTCTGTTTTTCTATGGTTGATACTTAAACTCTTATTCTCACTTTCACTGACAATTTTATCTAATTCTTTGCAGCTTCTCTTCTGAATCAGCTATTAAGACTCTGTCATCAGCATAATGCAAGTTGTTCAAATTCTGTCCGTCAATGATCAGCCCTGGTAAATCCTCAATCTCCCTCAGTATTTTCTCGCTGTACAAACTGAACAAGTCAGGTGAAAAAACACAGCCTGTCCTCACACCTCTCAATTTGGATGAAATCACTTAGTTCATTTTCTATCTTCACTGTTGCAGTTTGGTCCCAATAGAGATTTCTTAATTCTCAAGTCTTTACCATCGATATCCAGTTCTTCCAGCATTTTCATTAACTCCTCATGCTTGACTCAATCAAAAGCTTTATAATCAATAACATGCAAGAAAAGGTCTTTCCTCACTTGTTACCTTTTCTAAAAGCATTCATACCATGAAGATAGCATTTCTTGTACCTCAGTCTTCAACAAAACCCCACTGAACTTTTGTAATCTCCTGTCTTATTCTACCTCTAGTTCTCAACATCAGCACCTTTTAATAGGATCTTTGTCACATGGCTCATTAAACTGATGGTTCAATGAAGTTCACAGTCAGTGGCTCCACTTTCATAAATCTCATTGATAACAGTTGATAGCTTTTCTATACCCACTCTTCCAAACATTTTATTTGTTCTACTGTTCCTGTAGCTTTATTGGTTTTTATTCGGTTGATAACTGTTCATACTTCTGACTTTAAATTTTCAAACCATCCATGTTTTTCTTAATAGATAGTTTTTTCTTCTCAGCTGTTGTGGAATAACTCTTCAGTATACTCTGGCTATCTTTTCAATACTTGTTCTTATTCCATAATTACATAACCATTCTTAACTTTTATGCATCCCCTAGCAGTACATCCTCCTTTGCCTGTGATGTGTTTGATATATTCTTATACATTGATGACCAGTTCTTGACTTAAATTGGTTCGTTATAAAGTATCTATAAAGCAGTGGAAGATGGTTCCCAGAACCAAGTTAACTTACTATCTAGAGTTTCAGAATAGGTTGTATTAAGGTAACATTTGAAAATATTATATGTTTAATGCATGAGTGGCTTTTTTTTCTTACCAGTTAATAAAATGGTATGACTGGTTTTTTTCAGCATTGAATACTGGTTTCGATGCATGGATCTTGATGGGGATGGTGTACTGTCTATGTATGAACTGGAGTACTTCTATGAAGAACAGTGCCAAAAGCTGGATAACATGACCATTGAACCTCTACCTTTTGAAGATTGCCTGTGCCAGATGTTGGATCTTGTGAAGCCACAATGTGAAGGTAATGGTCTTGTATCTGTTTCAGATTAGATAAAGGATGTGATCACTGGGCATATTGTTAATCTACCTGTGTTCACTATTCAAATAGTTACTTTACTTCTAGTCAAGAAGAAATATCAGTTTAACATAGTTGGGTTCAGAGTGCTCCAAAACTGGAGTCCTTTGTTGTGAGCTGGCTTGCTCTCCCATAGAGAAACTGAATAACTTTCTCAGTTGCCTTTCACTTTAACAGATTCCATGCTATAGTTGCAGTATTCTCATTTTATCCATGTTGCCTTGAGATGTAACACTGCAGAGAGAAATACTGTATTTTCTTGCAGAACATGCATCTTTCTCTACCCCCCCCCCACCACCACCACCAAAAAAAAAATCCTGTTTTAAGTGGGGAAAATTGCTTAGTTTGCTGGAAAAAAGCACCCTGGAGATGCTGCATGCCATGTAGTAGCTGCTAAGATAACTGCCATTTGTCTGTTCTGCAGAAGAGGATAGAGTCTTGTGCTAATGCTCTCACAACCATAGTTGTTTCCTGAACACCATAGTGTGCCTGAAACAGCAAGGGAGATGCTAGTAGAATTTGGATGAGGTTTCTGATGTAGAAACAATTTTATTTATAGGAACTTTATATAAAGAAGTAACAGTCTTGCTTACCTCCCTTTGCAAGGGTCTGAGGGGCTAACCGTGTATGACAAAGTAAGTCCTTCTGGGAACATATAGACTGCTTACAGATGTAAAAAAAAGGCCAAACAAACCAACCCTAAAATGGCACTTTACTTTAAATTCCTCACGTCCCTGCTTTACTTTAAACTCCACCAAAGCCAGCACATGCCCAGAAGAGGCATCAGGTTAATTGGACTTGGCTCAGCCAATGTCTTCATGGATCAGGCACTTCAATGGGGCTTTTTGGGGCTTTTATTTAATAGCTGATTCAGCTGATTGATTCAGCTATTAGAAAAAGTACCAAAAAGCCCTGCTGAAGTGCCCGGTGTATACAGAAACTGCAGATCTGGGTTGAACTAACATGTTGATATGTTGCTGCTTCCAGTAAAGCATGGGATAAGGGGTTTTTTTTGGTTTCCTCCCCCCTTCGCTCAAAGTGTCTAGGAAGTGTGGCATTGCAGGAGATGGTGTGCCACACCAGGAAGTTTGTGATATCACACTTCCTGGATATTCTATGTTCCCAGGAGAACTTCCTCTGTCACAGTCAGCTATGACAAGAAAACATTTTTTCCTATATCCTGCCTTCCAAAAACAAGGTGCATATTTTTAAGGGCTTGTTGTATGCAAGCAAATATGGTATTAAGTCACTTCTAGGATAACTTGCTTTAGGCAGTGGCTATCATTATCAAATGTAGGTATCTAAATATAGGATTTTTAAGTACCTAACATGGATTTCAAATCAAATTTGCTTTTAATAATGCTGAACAATTGGCAACTCCTAGTGACCTTGAATTCTGTTAAGGGTTAACTGGGGGTTAGGCAAAATACATGGCCTGCAAGTCAGATTTGGCCCACCAGACCATTCTGTCCTGCCTTCAGGGCCCCTCCAAAAACAACTATTACCTGTCCACGGCTACCCCTCTCAACACTGGCGGGAGGCAGGTTTTCAGAAGTCACATGCCATTGGACCAGGCAGGCTCTGTGCTTCCACATCTGTGGGGCTCCTGGCATGCCATCTGGGAGCCCCATGTGGAGACACTGAGCATGATGGCACACAACTGGACCGATAGTGAATGGGGAGGGGAGCACCTGCCTGGGGGGGGGTCACTTGTGGGTGAGTGGGGAGGGAGCCCTACTATGGCACACAGTTCCCATTGCCAGAGCAGGCAGCAGGCCCTCATGTTAGGGTAGTTTGTCTCATATAGCTTTAGTTGAACCTGCTTGAGTGGTGAATTACAGTATTATTTGAACTTTTGTACCTTAGCAAGCCTTTAGCTTGCTGGACAGATAGGTACGGTAACACTCGGTGCTCCTGCCCGCTGCTGGCAGAGCCCCCCAATTGTGCATAGCTCTGGGTGAATCCCAGGAGCTGCATATCGAGGCATGGAGCCCGCATGGCCTGGCCCACTGACACATGCCTTCAAACTAAACCAGGCTGGATCCATGCCAGCACATGGAGCTCCTGACACTGCAGGCAGAAGTCATGTGCCACCAGGTCAGGCCAGGCCACCTCCATGCCTCCACATGGAGCTTCCCACACTCCAGCAGGGTGCTAAACGTGGTAGCCTAGAGCCAGCCTGGCCCACTGCCACACAACTTCCCATGGCTCCCAGGCTGTGCCCCATTGGGCTGGGCAGGCTCCATGTCTCCACATGCAGCTTCCTGCTAGAGAGCTGGAAGCCTCATGTGGAGACATAGAGCTGGCCTGGCCTGGCCCAATGGCTCATGGCTCCCACCTGCAGTGCCAGGAGCCCCACATGCTGGCACAGAGCCAGCCTGGTCTGGCTTGAAGGTGCATGCCAGCAGACTGAGCCAGCTCCCTGCCACCATGTTCAGCTCCTGAGATTTACTGGAGCTGTGTGCCACCAGAGGGCTCTGCCTGCTGTGGGCCAGAAGTGCCCTGAGGGCCTGCCACCTGCTGGGGCTACTGCTGTTGCTGCTGATGAGGGCTGTGTGCCATGGGATGGGGGGAGGCCTACACCCACCCACACAAACCCCCTCAAAACTCAGCAGGCCCACAAACCACACACATACACTACACAAGAGTAAGACTTTATTTTGAACTAGTATGCCATCACCTGCATACACTATGCAAACACAAATGGGGACAATATTTTTTTTAAATAAAATGTTATAGTAAATGTTTAATTTTTAGTATACAAGTTTTGTTTTGGTTTCTTTTTTGGGGGGGGGTCTGGGTCTGGCAACCGGGGATCTGGCAACCCTTCCAAAAGGGGTACTTACAGGGGCAAGGGGGACTTCTGGTCACACACATCAGGGGTTAGGGGTGGGACTTCCAGTCCCAAGATGGTAACTTGGGGGAGCAGGGCACCTGTGAAAGGGTGGGGCTATCCTTAGAGCCCTTGACAGCTCACCAGAAGTCCATTAAGTAGCCTGCCAGCCAAATAATTGCTCACCCCTGGGCTAACTCAAATATTTTCTCATATTGGAGATTAACATAACCTTTAGTTCATGAAACCTACTTGAGTTTGTTTACAGCGGATTTTGTTATGCTTGGTAACAAAGCTCAACTTGAATACTAAATAAGCATTAAGCTGTACTGACTAATCCATTCTGTAGTATTCTAGTACAAGTAGTAATTTTTATATGCCTTTTCTAAACTTAAGGTACAGCAATGTCCCTCATCCTGCCAGTACCCCCCCCAACCCCAACTTTCACCACCGCAGGTTCATGCAGCTTTCATGAGGAACTGGTAGAAACAACAATACGTTGTTCAGCATGTGGATGAATAGGACTTTGCTGGGGAAGAACCAGCATAGTCTTTGTCAAAAGGAAATCATATCTCTCCAACCTACCAGAGTCCTTTTGTGTGTATCAGTAAGCAGGTGGATCAGGGTGATCCTCTCTGAAGTCTCAGACCTTGTATTGTATTGTATTGTATTGTTGGAGAGGTTTGTGTCCCAATGAACTTCAGAGCTATGTCACCCAAAAATCTTCTACTCCTGGCAAGTTAACCCATGGCAAGCAGGTGGGGGCGGGGGGAGGGAAGGGTCTCGCAAACCACACTCCAGCCCCAGTCCTTGGCAGTAGATCAGGAGGAAGACTATGCCAGGATCTCAGTGGCTGTAAAGCAGGGGTGGGCAAAATGCAGCCTGGGGGCCAGATGCAGCCTGCCAGGCCATTCTATCTGGCCCTCGGGACCCCTAAAAAGTTTAGAAAATTAATATTTATCTGCCCTGGGCATGTGGCCCTCGATGGCTTGCCAAAACTCAGTAAGCGGCTCTCTGCCCAAAATAATTGCCCACCCCTGCTGTAAAAACAGAAGGCCACAGCAAGATGGAAGTCAAGTGTCCTGTTATCTAGGGTTCTCCCTTGCCACTGGGCCCAGATCTTCACCTTGTCAAGATTGTGTGGTTGCTGTTTCCATGCAACAGCTTCCTCACATTCAGCAGTCACACACAGGCTTCTACCACAAGAAACAACACTCTCCTGTACCAACCTCGAAAACCCTGCACCGATGGACCAATGGTGACAGAAATGGGATTAGTGAATCTGGCAGTCTCCAGCCATAAATCTGCACATGGGCAGTGGTAGCCTGGTAATCATTTTGTGCCTGGATTGAGACGGGTGAAATTCAACAGCTTCTGTCATGACTGAGCAGTCCTATGCTCCTCTGCTCAACCCACATGGGAAAGGGGCTAGAAAAGATTCCCTAAAACTATGCTGTCTTAGCTGCTCCTGGCTGGATAATCATGTCCAACTCTCTCTGCAGACAAAAACATCATAAGAAGACAGTTATTTTTACCACATGGAACTTTCATACCTTGGTGGATTACCAAGACAATAAATGACCAGAAAAAAGAGCTACCATCATCTCCAGGGAACTAGACAGATACAACATTGACACTGTAGCTGTGTGCAAAACAAGACAACCTGATGAGGCTCAGTTGAGGGAAGAGGGTGGAGGCTACTCCTTGTGGAAGGGGAAACCAGGCTAGGACAGACTCTTCTTGGCATTGGCTTCACCAACAAGAATCAGCTCATCTGTCAACTTACAGAGCTTCCTGTATACATTAATGAATGTCTGATGACCCTACATCTTAACCTCAGCAACAAGAGTGGTCTGAGAGCAACATTTAGATCCAAGCCCTCCTCAATTAAAAGAGATGCTTGTTCTGCTTGGCAAGATAACCTCACCTCAGCAGAAGAACGAAGTATCAGCTCGTCAAAGCTGAAATTTTAAAGCGGGGTTTGGGAAATCAAAAACCAGTGGTGGCAAGATAAAGCCAGGGAGATCCATCTCTATGCTGACAAACATGACACGCATGGGGTGGGGGGAGGGGGTTGTTGTTGTTGTTTTTCTCAGGCAACGAAAACATTTATGGCCCAGCTTCCTATGCTTGTACTTCCCTGCAATCACAGGATGGCTTGACACTCCTCAAAAGACAATGATTCTATCCAGGCTAGATGGAAATAGCACTTTGAGGCACTCCTGAACCATGAGTCAACCATGGTAGATACGACTGTCAAATCCATTCCCCAACACCCTGAAAGATCATCTTCAATTCAAGGGATTGCTGTTGTCTTGCATCTTGACTTCCAAAAAGTCTTTGACAGGGTCCCTCATCAAAGGCTCTTACTGAAGTTAGGTAGTCACAGGATTACACGTAAGGTCCACTCATGGGTTAGAAATTGGCTTATGGATAGATAACAGAATGAATATAAATCATTTTTTGGATGGAAGGAAATAAACAGTGGAGTCATTCAAGGATCTGTTTTGGGGCCAGTGCTGTTTTTTAGCTCATTTTATAAATATGTTAAAGGGAGTGAGTAGTGAGGTGGCCAAGTTTAAGGATGACACAATTATTCAAAGTGGTAAAGACAAAGGCAGACTGTGAGGAACTACAGAAGGATCTTGTACTATTGCGCAAACAAGCAAATGAATGGCAGAGGAAATTCAGTGTAGGTGCATGTAAAGTGATGCACATGGGCAAAAATACCCAAACTATACCTATACTATGATGGCCTCTACATCAGCTGCTACCACACTAGAAAGGATGATCTCTCATGGCTCACTGATGGGTCTTGAGATTTGCTTGAACCAATCCTTGAGTCAAGGATCTGTCTGCAGAAGTTGCAGGTCTTTCCACAGGGAAGAGGTAGGCTGCGGGTGGGATTCCTCTCATTTCCCTTCCTCTACTCTCTCTTCTCTGGTTCAAGGGCAAGAGGCTTTACCTTGAAATGGGCTGCTGCATGGTTGAGGTTGTGGCACCACTGGGGCTGGTTGGTAGACCG